AATAGGGAAGAACCGTTGGTGGACCTCTTCTTCAGCCTAACCCTGAGTTTAATTAGCAGTTTAATTTCAGAATCAAGGCATAATTAATTAGTTAATCAGATTTGTTCAGTTTATTTACTATTAAAAACTATAAGTATTTTCAAAATGGTTTAAGTTAATTATTATTGTCTATGTTTTTATAAAGTTTATTGTGTGATTGTTTTTTGTGTGTTTGTTTCTCCCTGAGTGTTCTTCTGAGTTTGAGTTGCTGATGTAGTTCCATCTCTTATCTGTTATCTTTATCTTTATTTAATTTGCATTTTTATCATTTAATTTTATCTTTCAAACCCCCCCATATCCTTTAGTTTTAGTTTTTTAGATTTTAGTTAGTTTTTATTCAATAAAAGTGACAAGTGAACTGATTTTCATAGTCTAAAAAGTATCTTTCTTCGTGGGATCGACCCTTACTTGCCCTATCTATATGTTTTAATGAATACAAGTTCATAAAGGGGGATTGAAGTTAAGGAAAATAATAAATTAATTTGTAGGTGCTACGACACGCTTAACAGAAGACCTCTAGCATAGATCTTAGAATGAATTTATGAAAACATGAATAGTTGATGGATTAGATAAAAATGCATAAACGGGATTTGTAGTCCAAACTAGAGGATCACTCGTTTGGGAATGCCCGATCCAATGTTGATCATTCGCTATATTGTTTTTGCCTTGACTGACTACAGTTAAGTGTCCGAAATCATTTGCCTTAAACTAATGATAGTTTAAGTGTCTGATTAATGATTGCCTTTTTTGAATCTGGTTATGGAAATTATGATTTGGCCTTAGACTAAGAATAGCTAAGAGCATTATTATGATTTGGCTTTAGACTAAGAACAACTAAGAGCATTAATATGATATGGCCTTAGACTAAGAATAGCTAAGAGCATTGTTATAATCTGGCCTTAGATTAAGAATAATTTAAGAGCACTATTGAAAGAGTTTTTGAATTGAATAAAATGTATTGATATGAACTAAACAATACCAAAACTATGAATGTTTGAAATGAACATTGTGTGCATGATATCAAATGATTTGATTATGAATTTAGATTCAGTTTATATGGATTCGATGTTCGACGCATTAGATATGCTTACTCAGCTTTACCACTGAGCGTGTAGTGTGTTATATTTGCTACACGCAGGTAAACAGAAAGCACAATGTGATCCTGGCGGTAGATGGGGCGAGATTGTCGGGATGGATGTGACACGTTTTGAAACAATTTATGATATGTCAATATTAAAGTCGCTTCCGCAATATTGTTGAATACTCCATACTGTATATGTTATGAAAACTATTATTGGGATTAATAAAGTGTGTTTGAAAAGTTTTTACGATTACTAAGTTAAATACTTTAGTCCGAATGGTGCAGCAGACCTGGACGGATTAGGGTGTTACAATTTATCCCTTCTTTAATAAAGTATAATATCTGAGGGCCCACTGATTGATGTGACTTGGGAAGTGCATGGCCATGACCAAATAAATATGTTATTTGAATCCCACAAGTCAATCAAAGAGTAAGTAAACTACCGATTTAACCCTGACAAGGTGACACACCCCATACCTTGTGTTAAATCAAGATATTAGTAATAAAAGGATAAGAGTTATTCAAATAGGATGTGTCGTTGAAGGAATTGTTCCAAGAGCTTTAATCTATAATTTGGGGGGATAATGTGTTGCTAGATACCGCTTATCACTTGTAGTATTCAATACTATGGCCAATTTTATAGATGCCTAGAATAGGGTCACACACATAGAACATATGAAAATGTAGAATATTTAAGTGGAGTAAAGTTGCACTTTATTTATATATCGTGTATATTATATTGTATTACAATATGATTAATTAGATACACAGACATATATATAAAAAAACATTTTATATTTGGATATTTTAATTATGTGATAATTAAGTTTGTCAAATATAATTAATAATAATAATTATATATATTCGAATATATATATATATATATATATATATATATATATAAATTCTCTCTCTAAGCTTCCTTTGCTCTCCTGATGCCGGCGACCAGCTCTGGGGGAGCTTCCGGCCACCCTCCGTCATCCACTCCCTCTAGCTCTCATCCCAACTCAAGCAGCCAATCCCTCCATGGAAAATCTTCAGCCCCACGACTTCCCCCTCCATGGAAAATCTTCAGCCCCACGACTTCAGGCAGCCTATTTTCCTCAAAAAACTGACCTCTTCAAAGGTCTCAAACCTGGGAAGAGTTACGCAGCAGCAACAATTGCACAAGCTAACCAGGTAACTACCATCAACCTCCCTCATAGATCAGTTGATAAGTACAAAGGTCTTCCATGCATCCCCTTCTCCAAAGAAGAGGTTGAAAACCTTGCTGCCAAATTCTCTAAAGCCCTTCTTGGAACCTTATTTTTTAACAGACCTAGTGTGGATTTCATTCGAACCACCTTGGAGAGAATGGGATTCATTGGCTTTTCTGTTACTCTCATAGACTCCACACACATTCTCTTAAACTTCTCCAGTGATGATGATTTCCATCGCTGTTTTAAGGGAAGGGAATGGTCCCTGGGAGCTTACAAAATACTTATCTCGAAATTGACTCCAAATTTTGATCCCAATGTTGAATCCCCTATTATGCCCATTTGGATTTTTATCAAAAACCTTCCTATTCACTTCCATGCCAAAGAATCATTGATGCAAATTGCAAGAATCTTTGGTAATCCAATTAAACTTGATAGCACCACTGAAAACTTTGGCATACCTTCAATTGCCAGAATCTGTGTTGAAGTGGATATCTCACAGCCTCAAACCAACAAATTCTTCATACTCAATGGAGAACAACCAATGTTGTTAAAAGCCTTCTATGAAGAAGTTCCTCTTTTCTGCCCAGATTGCAAAGGGATCTCCAGGCATAAGGAATCCTGTAAACACTTCAAACATGCTGATTCCCAAACAAAAACTCAGGCCAGATTTCTTGACCGGAATATTCCCAAAGGATCGGGGAAGGATCCTGTGAAAAAACAATACCAACAGAAAACAGACAAAAGCTCTGACTCGGGCACATCACTTAGCCAAACCAGCCAAACCCTTCAGGACAAAAATCATCACAGTCTGCCAACCACTGCTAACCCCCTCCAGGACCCCCAATCAATCCCCCTCACTTCTCAACAAACCACTTCACAACAAACAAATAAACCCAATACAGCTACTCCTCCTCCTGCCAAATCCCCCTTTCCTCTTATCACAACCCTA